GAAATACCCACATTGCGTAATACATTCACATTTGAATTCACAGTTTTTCTTTATAAAAAAACCGCTATTTCGACTTGACACTGCATAATATTTTTCATCAAATACAATTTCTGTTTAGTTATCTGCCATCACTGGCAATTCTGAATAATGCGCACCACGCACATAAACACACAACAGTACCGGATCGGTTCTTGAATTCAAAACATCATCCTTGTGAACATAGAACACCGGTACTGGAAAATCAGAACCGCACCGTGTGCAGCGAACTGGTGCACTGGTTTTAACACATGAAAGTTTAGCAGATGTTTTTGTTTCACTTTATATATATAATTACTTCAATGATTAAATCTGATTTGAAACTGAAAATGTAAAAGCAATGAATGCAATATCGGACAAAAGTATTTTAACTCTTCAAAAAATTTCAATAAGCTGTAACTTTTTTAGATGGGCATTAACATTTCAGAAACCTTTACATCAACTATTCAAGTTATATCGGTATGGGTTTGAGTTTGGTTGGCTGCAAAGCACAAAGCAAAACAGCTACCTATACAGAGAGGAATGCAATGCTTCCAAAACGAACAGAGGAGCGACTTCAATCAGTGTTGAATAGAAGCTCGTAGAGAAGGACCGAAAGCTCCGTGCATGTCGATTGAAGATTAATCAGCAATCGTTGAATGAACATTTGAGAAACTACAACGAATGTGATGCACATGTGAAAATCCGATTCTATAACATTCCTTAGAAAACCATTCCCCAGAATGCACCATTCCCCAGAATGCACCATTCCCCAGAATGCACCATTCCCCAGAATGCACCATTCCCCAGAATGCACCATTCCCCAGAATGCACCATTCCCCAGAAAAGATGATGACATTAGTAATTTTCACTTTTATTTTTGTTTACTATTGATAATACACTGCGTTTACTTTTATGAAACTATGTATTTATCAATTCCAAACCATTTTGTAACTCTATAGAAAATGACAACCTGCAAGTTTTCGAGCACTTCGTTCATCATTTAAAACGTCAAAGGGTCTACTGTTAAACCTTATCGAAGAATTGTTCGACCTGAGTTGAAGTTTTATTCTCGTGATGGAATAAAAAATCGGTGCATGGAACGTTGAACTACCGATTACATATTTATAACATTATTCCACACGTTATTATCCCGAATGGGCATTACCCCGAATCCCTTGTGAAAAACTATTGATTATATAATTTCCTTTTATATTAAAAGAAGGGAATATTCCCTTCTTTATCATATATTTTACGAATTAATGATGTTCTCTTTTACATATTCAAAGCAGAAAATATTCCCTTCTTTATCGTATATCAAAAGAATTCATTATTTCCCTTTCTTACATTCAAAGTGTTTTTATGTTACTTCATATGCGAAGTTAGCGATGTTCAGAGTTGGTTGGAAATGCTAACATGAAGCTTTAGTGTGATAATTTATTAGCTAGAGAATGATCTTTAGAAGAGGGTAGGTGGATAGTTCCGTTAGACTACGGCAGTATAGGCCCACGCACATTAGATCCGGATCGGAAGCGTTGCGGCAAAGTGACAACTAAATCTATTGTCTAACTGTTAAATTTACGTCAACGCAACGCAAACGGATCTTATGTGGGTGGCCCTTATGAAAATTGAATAGAAGTGAAAATGAGCGAAGGGTCATTAATGCGACAGACTGGAAATGCTCTCGCAACGTGGGGCTTTAGGTAGTGATGAAAACGTCGCTAGAACTATTCCACAGCCGCAGTCAGTTTATGAGCAAAAGGAGGACGCACATTTTTTGCCTGTAGACTTGAAGACATACTTCAAGTCTCCGCGTACATCGTACGGGTTAGGCAAAAGATGTGTGTCTAACTTTAAAAGCTGTCTCAGTAATGGCCCTTCGCTCATTTTCAACTTCTATTCAATTTTCATACTGCCGTACTCTAACGCAACTATCCACCTACCCTATTCTAAAGATCATTCTCTAGCTAATAAATTATCACACTAAAGCTTCATGTTAGCATTTCCAACCAACTCCTTTTCTTATATTTTCAAAGAAAGGAAAACCCCTTGATCCATTAAGAAGTTTTTCTCTTCTTTTTATATACGCGAAAGAAGATTCCAGGAGTGACTATATAATAAACAAAAATAGTCAATCTAATACATGGCATGCTTTTCTGGGGAATGGTACATGCTGGGGAATGGTTCATTCTGCGGTATGCTTTTCTGGGGAATGGTGCATTCTGGGGAATGAGATTCTGGGGAATGGTTTTCGGCGGATTGGTTTCTGGGGAATGTTATAGAATCGAAAATCCAAAATATTCAGTTCATGAAAACGATTCACTGGTTCTGAGTGTTTCAACAACATATCGTCCACCAATCTAAATAAATTAAATCTTGATATTTTTTAATCGATTAATGAGAAAGGTAGATGTAAATTTTGCAAAAACATAACTTCTTAGACCAATTTGGTGGTTGAAATCACATCTTCAGCTTATACTTAGACACTTATCAGCCTTTCGATACTTTTCAGCCTTTTGATACTTTCCAGCCTTTCGACAGTTATTATTATTATTTGATTTAATTAATCTGACACTTTTTTTTGTCTCAGCGGCGCCGTGAGGCATAACATCTCTGATCAGTTGTCCCACAGCTTTCTACAGCAGCAGTAGATTTTTTTTATTTCGGTGTGAACCACGCGATAGCCTGTTTTCGAGACTCGCTATTATATAGTTGCTCTTTGTTCATTGCTAGCAGTTCGGTGCCTTTTGTTGCTACGGTGCAAGATGTGTGAAATAAAAAACACCATCAAGTTTAGCTTCAGCCACCATGGATGCTAAACCAAACATCGAAGAGATTGTAAATTTCGCCAAAGCACTCGACGCGGATCCGGCTGAAATGGAAGCTGTTTATCGCATTGGTGAGGAAAGGGGAGTCTTCATGAAGTTCAAATCAGAGGAAGCGATGCTCCATGCTCTGACATACAATTCGGAGGATTTAATCTTTCATTATGCGAATGGAACGACGGCCAAGGTACGCATATCGCATGCTGGTGAATTCATCCAATATGTGCGTGTGTATGACTTGCCACCAGAGGTACCCGACAACGAGCTGGATAAAGTGCTGGGGAAATATGGAAAAATCAAACGCATCATCCGGGAGAAATTTCCAACTGATCTGTGCTTTGAGGTATAATGGTATATATATGGATGTGAAGAGGAAATCCCCATGTTATTACATTTCTACAATCGCAAAGGAAATATATTTTATGATGGCAACAAAGATAAATGTTTTCTGTGCAAGGTGGACGGACACCGGAAGATTTCCTGCCTCAAGCGGAAGGCTCGGAAGGAACCGGAGAAGCAACTTAAGGAAATAAGAAAGCAGCAAAGTGAGAGAAAACAAAACGTATGCTGGTGTAGTGGTGGAAGGTGCGTCGTTGGTCATTAGCGACGAGGAAACGGACACGGGGTTAGAGATGTTGAAAGAAAATAACGAAATGGACGTGACGACCCCGACGCCGACGAGAGTAACGGAGAGCATGCAAACGACGGTCAGAAGCAGCAGCAGCGAACACGATTCGGGTTCAATGAAAATGAGGAACAAATTCGGGAAAAAAAGAAGTTGCGTGCACGGGAGAAGATCACCGCTTCGATCGCCACCCAGGAAAATCATATTACAGGTACACATCTATATAACGTAACTGTCACTTTTGATTTCGCTCGTCGGTTTCTCGCAAACGATCATTCAATCAAGCAAGTAACAACACCATCGGACTGATGAGATAATCCCCCATCTATTGGCAATGTTGATTTTTATGATTGAATTGTTATTTGCGAAACATCGACGATTGATGTCAAACGTGACAGTTACGTTATATCGAGGTATACCTCTATAAAATGCTTTTCTATATTTTTTTTGTATTTTGAGTACCAAAATTGGTATTCCATGTTACTCGGTTCCGCTAAGTTATTTTTATAACATTTGAGCCTGCCAAATAAACGAAATGCCGTTGGTCCCCAGTCTATGTGATGAGCTGTGGGATCTGCCTCCCTGGCGTCGGTAGCATTGGTGCTCAGCACGGAAAACAAATCAAGGATAAAAAACTTTTTTGTCTTAATGAATAACATTCAAATATACATAAATAAAATTACACACATTTAGTCAACAATTACGATAATGGTCAGTAAACCGTCGTGGAAGCGTAAAAACTGGTACGTTGAAGTCGAATAAATGAAAAACTTCCATCAAACGTACCTGACATAAATCTAACCGGATCATGCTGTCCATATTGGGCAAGTATGTGGTATTTTTTATGTTATGTTTGCATCTGAAAGAGATTTCAGTATAGTTATGCCAAACATCAATTATGCCAAAAGACCAATATCCCCCGTGTAAAGTGGTAGAGCGAAATCGAAAGTGAAATCTGAGAACGCCAACATTAAAACAAACTCGCATCTTTTATTTTGGTTTGTAACATAAGGTCACCGTTCACTTCATAGGATAAGGTGGGGCAAGATGGGTCACGGGATAAGATGGATCATCTACATTATATATTTATAGTTTTGATTGTCATCAATAAACTCAATGTAGCCCCATTGCTAGTATGAAACAAACATTCCATCATTGGGAATGCATTGATCATGTTGATGTTGACAAACAAATAAATTAATAAACGTATTAGCCACTCGTATTGCCCCGTGACCCATCTTGCCCAACTTTACCCTACTTATTATCATTATTTCTGTAAATTATTACAACAAAAACCAATACTATCATTCAACATCTTTTTGTAATTTGCGAGCTTTAATTAAAAAAAAATAAGGATAATAAGTAAAAAGTGAGTTGGATAAATGGCGAACTTACGTTACTTGCGCTGAAAAAATGTATGTATGATGTTTGTTAATTCAATTGTAACACTAAGAGCTTAAGGTTTAAAAATATGGGTTAACCTGGTTTAAGAGTTAACCGCAGGTGAAATCGACCCTGAAAGATTTATAACATACCTAACGCTTCGCTCGATGGCTGCAGGCATCGGTAGTATGCAATATTTACTTTCAGCCAGTGAGAGTTGCTCCACACAGTTTGTGTACGTGATCGCTGTGTGATCGTATCTAGTATAAAACAGCATGTAAGCATTCCACCATCGTTTTTGGCGCCTGTACTGCATTCTCTTCAAATTGTTATCGTACACTTCACCCATGTAGTCACCGCCAAAGCATTGGGCTTTCAATTCTTCATCTTCATTCATTTTGCACTCTGTAACTTCACCATCGTCAAATTTGTACCACTTTTCCGAACCGTCTGGAGCTCTGAATAAAAATAAAAAAAGTTTTAGTAATGTTTTTTAAATTAAGTATTCACAATAACGCACTTGTGAAGTATGTAGCTAAAATAATGTCCACCAGATGCTTGTCCGCTATGCACCACAATTCCTGTAAGTTGATAGCGCGTTTCAGTGGATTCATCGGATTTATTGTCTTCAACATCTATCACTTCTCCTTCAATTTTTGCGAGACCAGAGACTGCAAAACAAGCAATTATTATACAAGGAATTAATTCGTTCATGATAAAAGAAATAAATTGATTAAAGTTATCGATAACATTACCTGTATATGGTTCCATATCTAACCAGCGCGGAAATTCAAAATAATCGTTATATTTAATCGCACATACTCTCTCGTAGTCATACTCAAAACGCTTAAGTTGAAAAGCTAGAACAGGTGGCAGCTTCCGCACGCACAACCGTTTAACGGTTACCACCTAGGGATAAACCATTAGTTATTTGTGGAGCGAAAATTTTAAATCATCACCTTTTTATCACATTTATCACAATGGTAAGCATCCGCGCCTTCCAGAATTTCTCCCTTCACATATTGCTCTAAGGAGTCGGTTAACGAACTATGGTTTCTAATATCTACACTGAAAACACTGAATGGTTCTTCCTTGCTGTAACGATGTGGACAATCCTGACAAATTTTCTGATCACTAAAACATCCGCCAAGTGTAGCACCCATCAACTGAGAATAGCCCAATGATTTAAGGCCTTCATCTAGACTTTCAAAAAGAGACATGAAAAACTCTACCGCATCCTGCTGTTCGCGTAAATTTACTGGTTCACCTTGCAACCTGAAAAAAATGAAAGAAAACATTGAATGTTGGGAAAATTACTCAAAAATAATTTGTTATTTCCATCTTGGGGACCATCCATGAATGACGTAACATATTTTTACCAATTTTTCCCACCTTGTAGCGTGTTTCGCTATACCTAAACTTTGAAAATCTGAGTTAAATCGAGAATAAAGAACCTTTTTTTATGAACGAAAGGGTGAAACGGTGCATGCATTTTAACCAAAATATCCATATAAAATACAAACTAAAAGCGCCAGTTCATCTTGCAACCAAATGAGCTAAAACTTTCGGAGAGTGATTTCCTCACCCACTAAAGCAACACATTTAGGAGTTGCCCCTTTGACAATTTGAACTTTCATTTTTATGGGAAGAAGGGAGTTATATATCAACTTTTGTTGTGATTCGAGAATTGCAATAAACACTTCGAGAATACTTTTGGTTTTTAAGGTTGATTTTATTGAAACTCAATACGTCAGGTTATCTTACGAAGACATGGTACAATATCGATAGTTCATTATTTACATAGTTCATTTCTGCTTCACATTCTCACACTCCCTATCTCCCTATTGCCTATATATGAGATAGCACACATTCAAATACTACTAGCAAGTTTGTATGCAAGAGGCAAAGCTTCTAGCTGACCACTAAAGCTTCTCCATTCAATATTGCATACAATACCATATGCGAATAACAGTTACGGCTCGCATCTCTCATGTTTACACTGACAATTGTCATCCGATGTGTCAGTACCGATCTATCAGTTGAATGGTAAATTTTTAATGTTTACTCCACAAGACGATGGTGATAATATCACCGCAGTTTGTTTCTCAACACTTCCCCACAATTTTTACATTCAACAGCTCGAATAACCTTCGATGTGTATTTTTAGGTAACCCCTTTGTGAATGCATCAGCTGGCTGATCTACGCTCGGGATAAATTGTAGCTTCAACTTTCCTTCCTTGATGAGTTCCCGGATGAAGAGATACTTGATGTCCAGGTGTTTCATTCGTTGATGTGATCTCGGCTCCTCTGCTATGTGGATGCATGGTATACTGTCTTCCATAATAATGAATGGTGTTATAACTACGTCCAATTCATTCAGAAGTTTTGTTATCCACATTCCTTCTTTCGTAGCAGCGCACAATGCTATTAATTCAGCTTCACTCGTTGATAAGCTTATTGTTGGTTGCCGTTTCGTTGACCACGAAACAAGATTGCCGTAGAGTTGAAATGCATAGCCAGATATTGATTTCCTGTCGTCTGGATCGTTCGCAAAATCCGCATCTCCAAATCCTACTAAGGCTGGTCTATTGGCTTGTTTAGAGTAAACTATTTTGGTGTTACTGGTTCCTCTCAAATACCGTAAGATGCGTTTTAGCCCTGTCCAATGCCAATCGGTTGCACAGTTGGTATATTTACTTAACGCATTCACTGCAGCGCATATATCCGGTCTGGATGTCAATGAGAGGTATTGTAGACATCCTACTAATTCTCTGTAGGGTTGATCAGTAAGTTTTCCTTCAGATTTCGACCATTTTGTATTAGTGTCCAATGGTGTCCCCACTGGTTTACACTCGGCCATTCCAAATCTTTCCAGGAGCCTTTCAACATACTGACTTTGTGAGATTTCAATGGTTTAATTGTCAAAATCTCGATTTATTTCCATTCCTAGGAAATGTTTTACCTCAGACAAATCTTTCATTTGGAATAACCTTCCAAGTTTTTCTTTGATCCACAATATATCATCTATATTTTTGGCAATTAAAAGAATGTCGTCTACATAGAGAATTAGGATGATTCGTTTGGACTTTGATTTGTAAATACAACAGTCATTTTTGAGTGGAACAAATTCTAGTTCTCTCATCGCATCATCGAAACGTTTGTTCCAAGATCTGCTGCTTGTTTAAGTCCATACAAGCTTTTGTGTAAACGAACAATTTGGCTTTGTCCGTTTTCTTTCGGTGGGAGTTTCATGAAGATTTCCTCTTCTAGATTCCCATTCAAAAATGCTGTTTTGACGTCCATTTGGTGTACAAGCAATTTGTGTTCGTTAGCCAGTGCAAGAGCTAAACGAACGCTTTCCAGTTCGGCACCAGGTGCGAATGTATCACTATAGTCAAATCCTGGCCGTTGTGAGCATCCCTTTTCCACTAACCGTGCTTTATACCGTCCATCTTCTTTCATTGAGAAAATCCATTTCGAATAAATTGGCTTGACTCCTTCTGGCACACAGTTTACCACTGTCCAAGTGTTATTATGATGCAATGCATCAAGCTCTTCTTGGAGTGCACGTTTCCACTCAGGCCAATCAAAAAGATTTTTCAGCTCTTCAATATTTTGCGGAATATCTTCGTTACGAATTATTGCCGTTTTCGCTGTGTACTCCGAATACCAACGTGGAGTTTTCCTATCCCTCTTGCTACGTCTTAATGGCTGCTTGTCTTCATCATCGTCTCTTTCATCGACTTGACTTTCATAAGTACTTTCATAATCAGTTTCACCAACTGATTCTTCTGCTGAAACGTTATCTTCTTGATTTTCTTCAATCAGCGTACTGTCTTCATTCCTCTGCTCTTCGTCAGAAGTTGATACCTGATCTTCAATATCTTGTCTTTGATCTTCATAGTTCTCTTTTCTATGCAATTGTGTACAAAAAACAAATCCTGTTGTTCTGATTCGATTTCATGAGAGAGTATCGTGGATTCATCGAATACAACGTTTCTACCTATTTCAATTGAACGTGTATCTGCATTCCACAATCTAAATCCATTGTTTGCGTAGCCCACAAAAATCAATAGTTTAGTTTTCGGATCTAGTTTATGACGTTTTTCCTTGGCGATTTGCTTGAAAGCTCTGCATCCGAAAATTCTCAAATGCTTCAAGTTTGGCTTCTTTTTAAACCACATTTCATATGGAGTTTTGTTTTCTTCTATCCCATTCGTAGGAGATCTGTTGATTAGGTATGTTGCTGTATATAATGCTTCACCCCACATTGCTTTAGGCAATTGACTATCGTAAAGCATTGCTCTTACCTTTTCCATCAACGATCTATTCATTCGTTCACTTACTCCATTTTGCTGTGGAGTGTATGGGACTGTGAACATCATTTGAATTCCGATTTTCTTACAATGATTTTGGAATTCAGTACTTGTGTATTCTCCGCCATTATCACATCTAAGCATAGAAATACGTGCTTGAAAATATGAAGATGCCATAGCTTCAAACTCCTTGAATCGTTCGAAGACTTCAGATTTGTGTTTCATGAGGTAGACCACGAGAAAATGAGTATAGTCATCAATGAAGGTTACAAAGTAGCGGTAACCATCATACGTTTCCTCTTCCATACTTCCACAAACATCTGAGTGAATTAACTCCAATGGTCGTTTTGATCTTGGCAATTTCATATCCTGAAATTTGAAAGCGGATTGCTTTCCTGCCAGACAGCCCTCACAAATACTTGTTTGATTCCGTTCTCCATATGATAGATTGATACCCTCAACCATCCCTTTTGACATTAGTTTCTCCAAACCTGTAGCACTCAGGTGTCCCAGTCTCTTATGCCAAGTAGTAAGACTCACCTGTTTTCCAATCAGTGCAGAACATGTTGCATTTTCTGAGGACTTTCCATCCCAAATACAATCAAGGTAGAACAAACCATCAATGAAACTTCCTGAAGCAATGACTTCATCTTCAGACTCAAAGATAACCTCTTTATTCGTAAAAGTGACCCTTTTCCCATGCTGGCTTGCCTTTCTAACCGAAAGAAGATTTTCTTCAAGTCCAGGAATGAAAAGAACATTGTACAATTCAAGACTCTTTATTGAATTTTTGCCAACAACGCTCTTCAATCTCAACTTACCCATCTTCGTTGCCCGAAGATTTTCACCTGTCTTGGCGGTTGAGACAATCACTGGCTCCTCCAAATCCTTTACTTCGTCCAACAAGTCTTCGTCGTTGATCATGTGATCGCTGGCACCTGAATCAACAACGAATTTCACGCGTTTGGCACGATTACGCGGGGCATTCGGCTTCACCATCATGGCATGGCGTTTTTTATTGTCCTTTTTCCCATTGGATTGTTGACCACGCATCCATTTTTCCTTCTCCTTGGCGATGAATTTCTTCATTAAAGGGCATTTGTTTTTATAATGCCCAGTTTCGTTGCATCCGAAACATCGTATAACCTGCTTCGATGCCAGAGCGACGTTTTTCTTCTCCTCTTTCTTCTCTTCCCCAGCTTCGGCGTTCAAGAACATTCTTTTTATATCTACTGTCGATTTCTTGCACAGCTCATCATTCGGAAGCACCAGCAAAGCTCCTTTTACATGTTTGAACCTGTCCGGTACTGCAATCAGGAGAGCATGGATTTTCTCGGCTTGAGAAATTCCCGATCCCATCCTGTCCAGCTCTCTGATAATGACGTCGTATTCATCAAATATCTTCCGAAGTGAGTCTAAGTTACGGTGCTTCATCGAGAATAATCTTTCCCGCATACTGACCATAGCCGCGGTACCCGCCTTCTGGTACGTTTTGACCAATATATCCATGGCTTGTTTCGCATATTCCACGCCAATGATTTTATTCAGGACATCATTGTTTACAAGCATGACTATTTCATCGAGTGCCTCGATGTCATCATCCAGCCGTTTCTTCAGCTTCTCCTTTCGCGCTTTTTCCACCTCCGCAGTAGCCCCTTCAGTCGGCTCGAAATAGTCTTCCTCGTCAGGAGTTTTCACCAGCGTATTCGATAACTTCAACTTTGCTAGGTGATGCTCCACACGCCATTTCCAAGCGGGAAACAAGGACTCAGTGCCGTCGAAAATATTGGCACGATCCGCGCCTCGGACTACTGCTGTGTATGGCAAGGCACGTTCGAGAGTTCCCCTCTCGTAACCGCCATTGCCACCACTTCCTTGTCCGCCGGGGGCCATCCTTCCGCAAATCAGACGGTCGTCTGCTGGATCGGCTGGTCGAACGGTCGTCTTCTGGCTCGGCA